ACTTGATATCAGTTGCAAGTTGTCGAAATTGCGAAGCATATAATGTTACTGATTGATTGCCTTGTCGCAAAATACGGATCTTGTTGGTTGCAACACGAATTGCATCATGTTCTCCAAACATGGATCGAAACTCCGCCAAAAAAGCCTCCAAATTATCCAATATTGGATCTCGTCGTTCAAGAAAAGATGAAAACCATGACAATGCTGAACTTGAAAGAAGTGTACCAATGAATCTTACTTGTGACCCTGGAGTTGGATAGCTCTGGGGTTGAAGTTCAATCACTAGTTGGACCTGATTGATGAATCCTCGAAACTTGGATCTGGTACCATCAAACTTCTCGGGCAAGGTAACTCTCGGTTCTCTAACACTCGAAGGGTGTTCCATTCTGGGAGAAGGGACATGGTTTGGTGCAGATGTTGAAGCAGCCCCAATCATCTCTATATCTTCACTTCCTACCATTCTTGTTGCTCCTTGTGGTGGTAAATTGAGTTGATGCATCGCAAGCATTAACTCCCTCAATTGTTCTTGCATCTGTGCCATTGCACTCTTCATTTCAACAAGCTCTGCCATAGTAGCACTTAGAAAAGAGAAGATGTCTAACAACGCTCAAAACAAATAGAAGAGAGGAATTGATAACAAAGAAAATACTAAGAACAATATCAGTTTAAAAGAGGGTAATCCGCAACTTCTAATGCGCTTATGTCTTATCAAGAAAAAGGGGTAATCCACTCTTAATCAAGAAAAGACAAAGCTCTGATATTGTAAGTGTACTCTTGTCAATCTGTCAGGGACAAGAACTCGATGAAAGCTAAAGAGTAAGTGAGACTTTTCTCAAAAAGAAATAGGACAAAATAGAAATATGTATATTAAGAAAGAAACTGGAATGGCTATTGCCAAAATACAAGAAAACTAGAGACCCTTGAAACTAAACTAGAAGCAAGAAAGGAGTTGACAAGAGTGAAGAGGGCTTCACTCTTGCCTCTATATATACTATCTAACTAGAAGCCACGTGGCGATGTTCTATAAGACCTCCAATATATGTTGACTTTCTAGGCCACATGCCTTTGCTTGCAAGGCAAGTTTTCTATGGATGGACCACGTAGTTAGCTTGTTCTTTAAGCTTCCAACATGCGTGGCACATGGCTAACTTGTTGACCAAGTTTCTAACCTAAAAGTCAACTATAGACTCCTATAAAGTCAAAGCAGTGTCTATGAAGCTTCTAAGAAGCTTCTCTAGAAGATATTACACAATTAACCTACTTTTACATACTTTTATCTATTCATATAGGTAATTATATGTATGTCCGTGACAACTACTCACATTATTACATGGACTGATCATCCTATACAGAAATTACAAAAGAGAGATTTGTGCCGCAGAAACCTTTTACATGGATTGATCATCCATAGGAATGAGTAGAAATAAGGCCTTGTCAGTTCATGAAGAGATCCGTATCATGGCAAAAGAGAAATTTGGCAAAATCTGTTAGTTGCTAGTAAAGCAGATGGTAGATACATTGAACGAGACTTTCTTAGGCACACTAGGAGATGCAACACTGTACAAATTATAATGATTTGTCTAACTAATTATTCAAGAAGTTGTTTGTTACACTTTTATAATATAAATTCTATGGAATGTCATTGGCATTACTTTATTAGGCAATTTAAGAATCAAAAGTATTTGAAAAAGATAATATTCAACTAACAAGATATTTTGCTCTTTTGGCAATTGTACCGAGCAAGCTATTGATGCCCAAATGGAAGGTTTTGGAATCAATGATGTGAGTTATCAAATTGATTCATTTATTGTCTTAGGATAAAAATATATATTTAGGATGCTTTAAATCACAATATATTATGAGTAGTGTAGAAATCCTTAGAGAAATAGAAAATTAGAATGTTAGTGGTGGAAATGGAGTCTAAGTAAGTCTTGGAGGCAATTCTCTTCATTGGTTTAGTATTTTTTATTCATTGTTGAATATTAAGGATTATTTATTAAGACCAATATTTACATTGGTTTTTTTTATCTATATGTACTACTTATAAAAACTATAAATGTTAGTAGTTAGAAGAAGCATGAGAAAGAACTTCATATCATTTTAGATATTTATATAAAAAATAGGATTTATAGTGGATTTAAATTAATTTTTATTATTATCAAAAATCACCAAAGTAAAAAAAATGTAGCTTTAAATTGATGTTGGCATTATAGAAATATTATAGAATTTTCCAAATTTTATTTAGAATTTATTTATAATTTATTTAGGAATTTTTAGAGCAATTTTTAAGATCTTGGTAAAAATGAGTTTTATCACTTTGGAAGCCTTTATGAAGAAATGGAGCAAGATTTGAAGGTCACGCAAGGTTCTTCAGCTAATTGGATATTTTTGAATACCATGGTGAGGTCAAAAATGCAAAAATATTGGTCTTTCTAGTAAAAAATAGGAAGATCAGCAACTAGTGTAGTCTTTGTAAGAAGGGAGGTGCACAAGTCCCATATGGGTTGTAGCACCTTGTAGGTAGTTAGAAAGATAAGACTAAGGCTTCGTGGCCTCTCTTAGACATCCTTACATACTACATGTGAGCTTTGGTGAGGCTCAAACCCTTGATCTATAAGTAAGTTATCCTTGAAGTAAAATATTTTTACTTCACTTTTCAATTATTTACTTCTTATTTTTAAAACTTCGTAACTTATTCATAGTAATTTGGATTTATATGTTTCATATGTCATTGAAAAGATAATAAAATTATCTATCTTAAAATATAAATTTTATTTTTTATTTTTACTTTTTATTTGGTGAAAACACAATGAACAAACTATGACCGAGTTTTAGATTGTGTATTTACTTCATATCATTTATTTCAATTGTTTTGTAGTTGTTCATCTTTTGTTCGTGTGATTTGCTTACTTCACTTCATACCACCAATTACAAGCAACTTTTAATTGAGGCCATCTTGTAATTCGAATTAAGGAGTGAATTTTATACTTTTCCAACTCCTTCATGTGTCCAATGTTCCTACAATGTTTGTGTATAATAGTTTTTAGATTTGGAGGCTGAAGATGGTGAGAAGTTAGAGGAAAGCAATAGTTCCAAGGAAGGTAGTTCCAATTGAGGATTCATATATTAGTGGTTCTTTCTAATTTTTGAATGCATGTAGTTTATGACGCTTAAAAACCTACTTTCTATGGACTTTCAATGCAAGGTGATACAATACAATTTATTTTTAGTTTTATTTGCTTTGATTCTCTTTTGTAAATTTTTATTTTTATTTGGCCACACATCTTATGATAATAGGATATTTTCTAATTTGTTTCATTTTAGTTCCATTCAAAACATTCCATGATAATAAGATGCCTACTCATTTTTTTCCTTTAGTTTTTTATTTTTATTTATTTTTATTAAACTTTTTCATTCAAATTGGTTCTTAAGAACATGTACTTCATATGTTGATTTGCTTACTGAATGCATAGTAGCAAAACTTCTAGATCCATTGTATGCTTTTGATCCTACATGTAGACTTATCCCATAGAACCTTATTTATCATTATTGTAATTCCTTCATACTAACATAGTTTTGTATATAGTTGTCTATAATGATAGAATCATTTTTCCACGATAATAGGAATTACTTTTGACATTCATACATATAAATAATCCAATGCTCTATAAATTTCCACAGCCATAGGCTTCTAAACGTCCAAAATTATAACAATGAACAATTGCTCATCACACATATTTTATTGCTCACTATTCATCGCTACATCTTAATAGTCCCTCATATGCATGTTAGGTATATATGATTGGCGCTCGTAACATTTTTTAAGTTTGAAAGATGAGGCTAAAAATAAAAAGATATTGGCAAGGATTGTGATAACATCTCTTAATAAGCAATTATGCTAGACCACAAAAAATTTAACTTGGAAGTTTTTACTTTGTATCAACGAAAAGAAACTAGATTAACAACTCTCAAGAGAAGTTTATGTACCACCACTAGATTAATAACTTCTTAATTTTAAGTTTTATTATTTACTGCATTCATAACTCTTCTCATACAATCTTTAATGATTATAATGAATTTTAGTCTTTATCTTATATTTTGACAAAGTTGTGATATTTCTAAGCATAAGCATAACTTCTCCAAAAGAAACTTAGAATATAAAATGTGAACCAACAACCTTCTACAGACAAGTCAACTGCCTAAATCAACTTTGCTATGTTTGATGTACAATGCAATAAGGAAAAAACTCAAAAAAACACTCAACCAACTCCAAAAATGGGACCTATTTCTATTTCTATTTTTCTTGAATTTAGACGGTGAGATGAATCAAAATTAAAGAAATTTAAAATGAAAAGATAGAGATTTTTATTTGAAATATTTTGTTAAAAAAAAAAAAAAAAAAAAAAACAAGATTTGCTAAAACTCATGGATAGCCATGGTTTGTCATTCAAAGAGTTCTCACTCAAAATTGATTACTTTTATAAACCTTCAAAATTGTAGTAGATAGATGGATAACTTAGCAATTTGAGAAAAGATTGTATTTTGAAACATCAACTAAAAATGAAGCACTAAATTGGAATTTTACAATCCCAAATGACCAAGATGTCACTGATGACATTCAAAGTTTGAATATTTGAAGTTAATTTTACAATGTATGTGGAAGCCTATTTGTCTCGAAAAGAAATTTAAGAAATTTATGAAAAATAAAACATCAAACATCACGACTAATTAGTCATCAGCCATGCCCGTGGTCCCTATCTAATTGCATCTCCGGGGCCTGAGCCAACGCTCAGCTGCACCCCTCCCACTCTTGACCCCCGTCCTCCGCTGCCCGGTCCGATCCCTTGTCACCCGAGAAAGCCCTGTCTTGTTCCCTGCGAGGCCAAGTTCCCATGCTGCTCCCGACGCTGATCCAACGGTCAGGCCGCTCCGAAGATGATCGACGGTAAAGACGAAGCAAGCTGATGCTGAAACCCACTGTAAAGATAGTTTCATGTGGGTATTGTCACGGTTTCGAGTTAGGGTTTGTTTCGTCTCATTTACCTCCACTCCGAGACTCAGCAACTTCTTTCTGACGAGTCTTTCTGGTGAGTGGGACGTGCGGTGCTGGACATTGATGCCGGTGGGCGTTCTGGGCGTTGGTATGGATAACTTTACTGCACATCGATGCCGGTTTAGGGTTTTGGATTGCTTGTCATAAACAGTGGCGAGCACTTGTGTTCTGAAAGTAGCGTGGAGAGATCATCTTCTGGGGGTTTAGTGCATCTTGTTCCTGGGATCGGGTTCTCATCGTCGGTTGCCTATTGAATCGGGTCGTGGAGGAGGATGGGCGACGCTTATAGAAATTTGGACGAGCAGATACGACGCGTGGAAGAGCAGATACGAAGTGTGGAGCAGAAGATTGAACGAGCGGAAGAGGAGATACGAAGAGTGGAAGAGGAGATACGAAGGGTGGAAGAGGAGATACGAAGAGTGGAGGAGGAGATACGAAGAGTGGAAGAGGAGATACGAAGAGTGGAACAGAACATTGAACGAGTGCAAGAGGAGATTGAAACGTGCTCTGACCTTCAAGAGAAAGCGCAGCTTCGGGACAAGGAAGCGCAGCTTCGGGACAAGGAAGCGCAGCTTCGGGGCAAGGAAGCGCAGCTTCGGGGCAAGGAAGCGCAGATTCGGGACAAGGAAGCGCAGCTTCGGGGCAAGGAAGCGCAGCTTCGGGGCGAGAGAGTGGAACTTCGGGGCGAGAAAGTGCAGCTTCAAGGCCAGAAAGCGCAGCTTGGGGAACAGATCCAGCAGGGACGAGGTTACTCCTATCACTCATCATCATCACCCCCATTTCCTCATCATCTTTGACTATCAATGTTCCCGGGGGCTGCTGGATTCATGGGCGAGGGTTAATGTCATGGTCATGGAATTATGGTTGCCATAAGATTTGATAGGATACTTCACTGGCCTCGATTGTTCCATAGCCCGGTTCTCTGTTGCTGAACTAGGTTAATGTTTACTCTTTTATTGTGGATCATTTGGAAGCAATCTGTCTCTGGTTCAAGAACGCATTTCAGGTTTCAGGGTTTGGTGTTCAAAGTGCGTCGATCCAAATGCACTGTGATACATGCTTCACGAGGGTTGTACTCTCTCGACAGTTCTCTCATGATGTCTCCATGACCGGCTTTAAGGGATGAGGTAGTGCCCATTGTAGGGTTTAATGTGTGCTTTCACCTGGTCTGGAGTTTTTTTTTTTTTTTTTTTTTTTTTTTTTTTTGTTTTAAAATTCTTAAGTAGAATTTCAAAATAAATTTTAACATGACTGACTTCTGTTTTCAATCTGTGCGTTATTTTGTACTTCTTGTTTGTTGCCACTTTAGAGCAATTCTGGTTGTGTGTTTGATAGAGATTTTAGACTTCTCTGAAATCTTTGATAATTAGGGTTCGTTTAATCCACAGCTTGGAGTGAAGTGTTAGCAGGTCTTGTTCTTGGCTGTATTCCAGGCTGCGTTGTGAGCTTAGGATTTTAAAGGATTAATTTTCATTATTGGCTCTGGTTACTGTCAATCAGACAGTAAGGTCGAATGTTTTCTTGTATGAAGCGTCTTTCTAAGAACTTCGTTTCTGTTTCTTTATGTCAAGTTTTGGGAGGAAATGCTTTACAGAGTAATATTTCTGTTTTGCTTTTTCAAGAATATTGTGCACTTAGGGCTTTGATTCGTTTGGTTGGTGATTTGGTTCCAATCTGCCGTTGTGTTGCTCTGTTCCATTGGCGCATCACGGACAGTGCTCTGATCCTCTCCTCTCTTCTTATTATTATCTTTCCTCGGAGTTGCATCCTATGCTTCGGAATGACGATTGTCACCACGGCTTGTCACGCAGGTAATCTTACTTGGGCAGAGTGGCTGAATCAGCGGTTGCCACCGCTTCTCTTTAGCTTTAGCGCACGACCCGGGTTACGACTGGCAAAGGAAGAATTCATCCCAGCCTCAACCATCAGATGGGATCTTTGGCCAGATGTTGATCAGTACGTTGCAGATGCAGTCACGAAGCCTTCACGACATGAGCGTATTGACCTTCGAGTCCATACCCAGACGAGAAAAATTTTCTCTGAGGCTGACTGTTGTTTTGTATACCAATCGCTTCTGGCTAACATTGGTAGTGTTATTTTAGGCGACAAGTTTGCCATGGCGGCAGAGGAGTGGTCAAGGTCCTCGGCTGTGACGCAACAACGCACAACAGCGGACATCAATAGAGGAACGCTCAATGATCTAAGTGCAGACCTGAACAACGTATTTGAGCTAGCTAGAGGAAATCCTGAGTCTGGTCTCAGAGCGGACATTGTGTTGAAATGTACTGGTCGAACCTTCTTAGTGGTCGAAATGAAGAGACCGTCATTTTTTAGAGGAGCCGTAGACCAGAATTTTCCAGATTTAGTCAAGGGGTATGAGGACAAAGATCTCCGCTTTCTGGATGGACAAAGATCTCACGTTCTTGCGCAATCTATTACCCAACTCTTCAGGTACCTGGTGAGGCACGAAATTGGGTATGGAATAATCTCCTCGGCTGATTTATCCTATCTTGTAAGTCGTGTGGGTGACTCCCTACGTATCTCTGAAGGCATAGAGTGGCATGATCCGAAATTCATTGGTGCACTTGCTTACTTTATGGAAAAGGCAGCCGATGATACTACGCCGTATGTGTGGGGAGGAGGTAATGGTAAGCTTACTGCCTTGTTCGGGTGTATTTGCTATTGCATCCAATGCCAAAACTTGTTTGAAATGAAAACACCACCTACTACCATTCTTGGTGATGATCAGCTTTTTGATTTGACAAGGTGCTGATGGATTTGTCGTTTGTGTGTAGGGGGTAAACATTCCCAAGACTGCGATATTGTTGTTAGTCAAGAAACTCAAGATGCCTCGAGTGATGATGAGGAATATGGTGCACCAAAAAAATTGAAGATGACACCAGCTGCCGGGAGTGTAACTCGGTAAGTGTCACTATTTGTTTTCTAATTATGTGCCAAGGTTGAAGGGAGGTGTACCTTAGTTTCGATTACCCTTAATATCCATCTTTTTTTCATGCAGTGTGATGATACATGGTGCATGTATACCCTTGCAGGAGCATGAGAGGGAAAATTTGTTGGAAGGAAACTCCTGCAGCACATTTACATTTGGAAGCGTATCCTTTTGCGACAGGATGGAGTGGAAATATCGTACGCGGCATATATGAGGGTCATGTTGTTGCTGTCAAACTTGCAGTGGTTTGTTCAGACCGTGCAGAGGTGAGCTTTCTCATTGCTTTTGTTGGGATGTATCTTTGTGAACAATTCAAGATGTTTGCTTATGAACTCACGTGATATTCTTGTATGCACAGGCTTTAATAAATGAGGCAAGTGCCTATTTAAAGCTTCAGGAGTACTGGGGAAAATATGTTCCAGCGCTTATATCGCATGGGACAACTGTAAATGGCAATGTTGTGTACGTTGCAACGGAGCTAATCAAGGGTTTTGAACTTGGGATGGGTAAGTTTCGGATCAAGCTTGCTTCTACCGTAGATGTCATTGCTTTGTTTCAAGCCCCAAGCAGTGTAGCAAGGTTCTAAATGTATTGGATGTGTGGTTTGCAGAACGTCTGACCCCAGAAGTGGTGACAGCATCCTTTGAAGCCCTTACTGCTATTCATGCTTCTGGCATGCTTCATGGGGACATTCGGCGAGAGAATATCTTGGTTCCAAAGGGAGGGCGGCGAGGCGTTCGTTTCATCGATTTTGGGTTTGCTCGTTCCGTAACCAGTGCTGACGATTGCTGCGAAGAGCTTGCACAGTTGCAATATATAGTTAGCAAGTTGCCTTTTCGTGGATCTGTTAGGGTAGCTTCAACTGCTGGCGTAATAGACAGGGGTCGTCACTTGGAGGCTGAAGCCTACCAAAACCTCCCTTGATTACTCCATCTCTAGAAATTTGACGGTATTTGTGTACATTAGAATTGCCCTGAGCATCAAATTGGTGCCTGGATGGCTCAAGATGTTTGCCATAGAACGCGGGTGTGTTTTGAAAGCCAATTTCGTATCAAATTGAAGGACTAGTTGGATAGAAAAGTGCATTACCAGGAATAATGTTGGGTACCAGCAAGTTGGGCGCGAACTTAGGAATCATTCATTTTGGTACGCATGTAGGCATTTTAATAAGTGCTTTCCGGCACTTTCCGCGTTGGAAAATTTGCGAATGTGGCAGCTGACAGGAAATTTCCTTCGCATTGAGGCATTTAAAATTGTTTGTGGGGACAGCCGATGTTGCTAAGATAGCTCGAAGCTCTACAGTGCTTAACCCAACTTTTAGGCTTGAGGTGTGTTGCGGAGCTGAGGAGTCTTCAGCCTGAAATGTCAGGGTATGATCTCTCTCGTGTTAGCCAACAATTCGCATGATCTCTCTCGTGAAGTATCCTGCGAATTGCCCACTGGCACTCTTCTCCCCTTCTCCATGTATAGTAACACTCAACCAGATCAGTATAGACACACTTGAAGCTCTCTCTCTCTCTCATGTCCTTCTCAACATGTTATCAGCACGATTGCACTATTTTTCTCTTAGCAATTTTCTTCTTGTTGGCGCCCTGCGTGCGTGTTACTGCACCAACTCCAAGTGTCTTCTTGGCTTCTGGTTCTTTTTCTCTTTTCTTTGGTTTTTCCTTTTCTCATTTTTGGTTTTAGACTTGCATGTTGTGCCTTGTCATTGTTATTTGGTGCTGGAATTTGCTTCTTTAACTAAACTCAACCATGAGGTACTAGCCCTCATTTGTCCTTGTTTGATTTGTTTTACAATGCATTTTTCTTCTTGGTTGTTGGTTTCCTTATAATACTTCTATCTTTCATGTCTTAATTTTGACTTAAAATTCTCAACCGAAAAGAAAAGAAAAGAAACTTTCTTTCTAATCGTTTTTCCAGTACTAGTCCTTACTTTTGAAGTGATTTCTTGTTGTTTTTAAATTTATGGTTGTCTCAAGCTTTTAACCATTTTGGTTCTTGTTTCTCTTGGTGGTTTTATTTGTTTCCTCTTAATTTTGATTCTAATTACCATTTTTCACTCTATATTCATCAAAATGAATGCTTCTACATCATCTATTGGTTCTATTGTGGTCACTTCTACAAAGACTTCTTTGGTAATTATACCTAGTGAACCTCCACAACTTGAAGCTCTTCTTTTTCCACTATTAGCTGTTGATGGGAGTAATTATCTTGTATGGGTAAGAATAGCAAAAGATAATCTTTTTGATGCTATTCATTTGAAGAACTTTTTAAACCGGATTTGTTATAATTGGACATACTTGCGAATATTGGATTTTCCAACTTTAAGTGCTTTTAATAATGGGATGTACTGCATTATATTACAATTGCAATTGTGTGGACAAACCATTTCAGAGGAAGAAATGATTGAAAAGACTTTCTATTTTTCTTCCAATAATTGTTGTACTTGCACAGCCATATCAAAATATGAAATTTTTAGAGCCACTTTGAACTCATGTTCCATTTGCTTCTTGTTGAAAAGTAGAGCGAGCTCTTCTTGCATAATGCAAAGGCTCACCCACCTAGAACTATGGTTCAAGAGTCTCATGCAACTAATGTGTCACAATCCAAGAACAAGCAGCAAAAACATAGAAAATGTGTTTATAAACACCAGAGCAATCATGGTCGTGACTATCATCATTTGCAGGACAAGAATAAATATTCTACTACTAATCAAAGTAGAAAACACAAATTGGAGACATATTCTTGCCATAAGTGTGGCATAATTGGACATTTAGCACATGCATGTTAGACTTTTGAATATTTTGTAAAGATGTTCTAAGAAAACAAGAAGTTCTAAGCTGAAACTCGTAAAGTTCATACCATAGATGTGTGGATGGATCCCTTTGGAGTTGATGATTTGGAGGCATATATGACTAGAAGAACCTCTATTAATGAGTTATATGATACATTCATTAACTCTGCAACAACACATCTTATCTTGTAGGATAGATGATTTTTTCTTACTATTGATGAATCTTCAACTTGGCATACTAGAACGTTAATGACCATAGCTGGAGCGAATTCATTTCGTTCCTAAGAGGAACCAACAATGGTAATATTGCCTAAAGGCTCCATAATTAAATGCAAACATGCGATGTTTGCTCCCTCTATACCTTAGAGATTGATTAGCTACCAAGATGTCGGTGCCTGTGGTTTTGACCTCTTGACCACTATTCTAGATAGGCGAGAGGCTTTGGTTCTTTCAAAGAACAACAAAATTATTGAAAAAAGCTTTGCTGCTGTAAGTAGCTTATATCGGATTGCAATCCAGCCTCCAACTATATCTTCTTTTGTATCATCTACCAATGAGAGTCATGTTTCTCTTTGGCATAGGCAATTGGGACATCCAAGATCTATTTAATTTAGGAAGATAATTCCATGTTTAATTGCACATAATTTAAGACTTATATATGCAGATTTTGTGAAATTATGACATGCATGCGTGCAAGGCAAAATGATTGTCTGACCTTCAGTCAAGAAACTCTCGTGGAAATTACTAACAATGTTTGAATGCCTATATGGAGTCAATTGTAGTCCTATCAATCTATTGATCAGACCATTCCATTATTTTCTGATCCTTATTCATGCATCAAGTAAGCTATCACATGTTTCATTGCTATCAACACGAAACATGGTTTTTCCTAATCTTCTTTCCATGCTTATTTGTTTTTGGGCGCATTTCTTTGATTATCCTATCAAGACATTGTACATGGACAATGCCAAAGAATTTGGATCAAAATCTTTTGAAGATTATTGTACTGCAATAGGAATTGAGTTGATTTATTGTGTTTCATATGAACATGCCCAGAATGGATTTGTAGAGTCATTCATCAAACGTATTCAACTCATTACCTAGCTACTCCTCTTTCATGCAAATTTACGTGCATCTATATGAGACCATGTAGTTTTATACGTTGCAGCATTAATTTGTCTTTGTCATTCCTTTCTTGAAACTTCTTCACCACATGAGCTCTTTTCAAGTTAAGTTTTCAATGTTTCTCACTTGCAAATATTTGGTTGCTGTGTTTGGATTCCAATACCAGAACTCCAATGACTTACTATTGGAACTTATTGACAGGAAGATATTTATATTGGATTTGATTCATCGAGTATTATCCGTTTTGTTGATCCATCATTAGGTATATTGTTATGCACATGTTTTATTAATTGTCATTTTGAAGAGAATGTATTTTCATGTCTTTAAAGAGGAGTTGTTGATCAACAAAGTATTAAGATTCTTATATTTAAGATGTTGGAAATATTAAAAATGAATCCCAATCCTAGAACATCTTTGGCTCAGACTAAGGTTGCAAAGAACTTGTATTTGAAGAGGATCCTAGACTAGACACTTGATGGCTTTAATGATGTGCCAAAAATTACCAGAGTTCTTATTAATGAGGCTTAAAATACACCTACTCACGTTGCAGTGCTATTGACTATTACAACTCAGGTTGTGACATCAACAATGAAGAGAACTTATAGACTAGATAAAGCACCATATAAGAAGAAGGCCATGACAATAAATGATTCTATTGAGAATAATATTATTTCTATTAAAACTATTATCAACCTTGTGGAACCATCAATGGAAACTGTCTCTTCTACTCCTATGGGAGAGATCCTTGAGATTAAAAGGAATAAGATGAAGTTGAATACAAAATTATCTATTATATATTGTAGTATAAATGATATTTGGGATAAACAATCTACTGGGGTAGATGAAAATTTTGCATGTATGATTACAAAAGCTCTTTCTTATGAAGAAGAGGATGTTGAATTGAGAACTATCTAGGAAGTGATGTGCTACCCTGATTGGTTAAAGTAGAAAACTGCCATCAGAGAAGAATATGTTTCTTTGCATAAGAGAAATTTTTTTGGTCCAACTATGAATACTCTCATCTCCCGCCGTGGGAAGTATAAGATGGTATTGGTACAAAAGCATAATGCTTAGAGGTGTGTAACCCGCTATAATGCTTGTCTTATTGCCTAAGGTTTTACACAACGATTAAGGATTGATTATGAGTCCACATACTTTTCAATTATGGACTGAATCATTTTTTGATATATTATTGGAATCACAGTATATGTTGCCCTTGAAATGCATTTCATGGATATAGTAATTGAGTATTTATATAATTCTCTTCATGTAGTCATGTACATGCATGTACCAACTACCTTGGAAATAAGAAACTTTTGTAATCTTCCTCTGAATCAACATTGTGGTATCAAACTATAATGGGCCTTGTATGGTCTAAAACAATCTGAATGTATGTCTTTTTTTCTTTTTTCTTTTTTCTTTTCTTTTCTTTCTTCGATGGAATGAGGGTCTAGTTTTCTCAGATTGAATTGGACAATGGTGTCCTTTGGCTTTCCAATGTCACCCTTTCTCTAGCTGGTCTCGAATGCGAGTTGTACTAAAATAATGTAGCACTTTCATACTACGTGCTGATAGTCAATCTTTTTTTGGTGAAACAATAAAGGAGATTGCTTGACTGCTCCCGGTCCCAGTGTGGTGCCTTGGCTGTAACTTGATCTATTTGTTGCATCATGTTTGCAGGTCAGTCTTCAACACTCAAAAAATTGAAAAATCTTATGTGGAGCCACCTCTTTCAATTTCACAAATTCCATCTGTGTTTGAGTAATAAAACTATACCAAATGTGTTGTCAGCTCACAAACAATGGAATTCTTCCTCAAATCGTAGGTTATTATTGGGAGAATATTTGTGTCCGTCGATGTCCAGTCATTGACAGGACCTTGACCTTGAGCTTTTCTGACTCACATTTTGAAGGTTACAAATTGTATCATCCTTTATTGTGTTTGGTGTGAGAAGCATGCAATATCTTCCTTTATTGCATGTCATGCATGCAAGTAGATGCTTTCTGTTTTAAGATTATTTTCCATCTCCATGATATTAGACTAGAAACTTTTTCACCAGGATATGGTTTTCTATAGAGTCAAGTTATAGAAATCAATTGGAGTTCTAGTGGGAGGACTTGATTTTCATGTTGGCCGGACTACGTTAGAATAGATTACATCAGGTGTAATCATAGAATCATATGGTATGACATCTGTTATACCTTGTTCATTTCATTCAACCCAGCATACAATCCGTCAACCTTCGCCAATTGGGAACCATACATACATACACACACACATATGGAAGCATGTAGAGTTTTATCCAATGTTTGATATATTATGCAGGTGGTGGAATAGACAAGAGTTGACCTAATAAGGAACATGCAAAGCGAAACAATTGAAAGAAATTTCAAACAAACAATAATATTCTTAAAGAAATATTAGAATGATCACAAATATTACTCAAATATATGTCAATCCAACCTTAATTTAGTTCTAGTTATAACCCTATTGAATTTCATTCAAACTTTAGACCAAACCTAATTAAATCTTAAACCCTAATAATTCCTAAACTCTAAGTCAAATCTTAAATTAAACCCTAGCCAAACCCTAATCCAAACCCTAAATCAAACCCTAATCAAATCCTAAACTCTAATCCAAATCCTAAATCAAATCCTAATCAAATCCTAAACCCTAACCCAAACCCTCATCCAAACCTAAATCCTAACCAAACCCTAAATCCTAAACCAAACCTTAAATCAAATTCTAACCAAATCCTAATCTAAATCCTAAATCAAACCCTCACCAAACCTTAAATCCTAATCCAAATCCTAATCCAAACCCTAATCCAACCCTAAACCCTAAAAAAACCCTAAACCCTAATCCAAACCCTAATACAAACCCTAACCAAATCCTAATCCAAATCCTAGTAATTCCTATGGCATATTTAAATCTCAATATCTAATGAAGGAACTGTCGATCTCAATTCAAAATTTACATACTTCTTAAAAATCAAGTTTAAAAAAAGCACAAAAAATTTGAAAAGGATCGGAGTTACCAAATTGACGAAAACCTCAAAAATGTGTTTGGGTGTTAGCCGGCCTTCTTCTCCAATCTTGATGCCAACCTTCCAGAGCCAATTTCTCTTCTTTGCGTCGTTCGATTGGTTTTAAATTTCTCATGGACATAGAAAAACAAGTCTAATACCCTTTCACATAAGTTTTACTCCAATCCAAGTAGTAGATTGCATGGAATCTTAAAAACGCTCACTAGATCTAAAATTCTACTTTTTGAGACCTTAACCCGCTTAAACCTCAATATCTCTCACTTTAACCGTTAGATCAAGCTCAAATTTACAACATGTATTTAACACAACTATAATCATGAACCCAAAACATTTCACCCGTAGATCTGCAACAAAACTCTCGAAATCACTCAAAACATAAACCCTATTTTATTTCATAAAACCCAAGTCATCCGAAACAAATCTCGACTTTGCAAAGCTCTTACAAAGTCATATCAACTCCAAATCACCCAAAATCAACGGTCATAGAAAGCCTATTTAGTCTCCTATCAAATCCCACTCTTCAATCTGCCAAAGAGTCCTAGAGTCGTCGTCGAGACTGGGTTTTGTGCCTCAGGGTCTGATTTCGACCCTGGTTCATAACCAGCCCTCTCCGCGTATCAACTTTCGTCTTTTTGTGGTAATTTTTACTCATTTGCACCCCTAACTCCTCCCTACATATGTCTATATCCTTTATTTTTCTAATCTACATTTTTTTTGCCTTATTTATGGCCTTACAAAGTAAATAGAAGCATAATTTGTAAAAAGGCAGCATTAGCACCTTTAATTTTTCTACCCTTTTACTAATATCTATTTTTCCAAGATAATTTGCTACAATATTTTTGAAGTGACATCCTCAAAACATGATATATTTCTTCACCCTTTCACCTACTAGTCATATTACATCATGACAGCGATGCCCTTGATTTGTCCGCTTTCCACTTCCTGCACCATCGGCTCCCCGTCCTCGTTCTCATCGACCTACCGTCAGTTCTTCTGATCCCACCATCTAAACATCTTTTTCGACGTCTCGGACATGTTCTATGAGCACTGACGCAGTGGCAACAGTGCCATTGTGTACTATTGCTGCAGCCACTGCATAGCCGATGTGGAACGTGCACCTCCAATCTCCATCGTCAACTTCTGAGCGCACTCCCTCTTGCGGATGCATGCCGATCCCGGATGCATCTCCAAGTACAGCCTCCAATGCTCTCTCGTGCTTAGTATCGATAGCATTGGCATCGAGTTCAAACAATCCAAATGCTGCTGATATACAAGCATCGTGGACAACTACCCGTATTTGCCAAGCCCTTGAGCTTGCACTGCTTGCAATGATGTTGCTTGCAATGACATTCTAGATTGCGCTCCTCACAACAACTCGCTCGCAAATAACCTAAAATTTTTCTCCATCCCTCTGCCAACTTGGGCGATGGCAGAGGCGACTGCAATGGAGACAATGGAGGGGTCATTGGCGATGGATACTATGCGTACCTGACGATTCTCAACATGGACGATAATTTTTGTAATGCCACACACCCTACATTCCAATGGGCCGAGCTCTCGTATCCGACCAATGGCTCTACCCGTGACCTCTCAATGTTCTTTTATAAGATGAGCTCTCGTACCCAAACGTCCCATCGTAGCTCGTCGCTGCACCAACTTGTGACGACCTGACGCAACCCCCTCCGCTCCAACTTCACGTCCTTGCTGCTTGTGGTGACGTGGGCTGCAATCACAACTGCTTTGGTATGTCCGTAAAAGAAATACACCTGACAACGGTAATTTTGCCCATCTTTGCATGGTTGTGCTCGATATCAAGTTGGATGCGGTCGATACTCAAACACTCTATGCATGAAGTTACATGCATTGCCTCTTCATTAGTTCTTGTTTCGTAAGTTCTCGTTTGTATCTTACATCTGCCTCTTCCAATACCCTGTCTCTTACGATACCCTGCCACTTGAAATATCCTCTGTCATACCCGGCCTTATACAATATCCTCCGTCACATCATGGATCCCTTCATATCCATCCTCTTACAATAGCCACTATCGCACCCTGGATCCCTTGATACCCTTCTTCTTACAGCACCTACCATCATACCTTGATTCCCTTGATACGCTTCCTCTTACAATACCCACCATCATACCTTGGTTCCCTTGATATCCTTCTTCTTACAATACCCTCCATCGTTCCTTGCATCCTTGGTACCCTGACTCTCACAAAACCCTCCATCATACCCTGAATCCCTTGATACCTTGCCTCCTTCACACACTTCAATTCATACTCAAAACAAATGTAAATTTACACTCTCGAAAAAAGAACAAGAAGGTGACTTGTGAACACCCATGTACAATGACCACAAACAAATATGTAGAATGATCAGTTAATGTATAGCTCCACTTAGGTTGTACAGTAGAATGATCAGAAAGAAGATCTCGAGAATCGCCTTTATTAAAAATATAATATAAGTCAAAGAAAATTGTCAACATTTCGAGGGAGAATACATACCTAGTGTCTAAGGTATGAGACATTCATCCTCCTCCAATTCCCTAGTGCTGTGCTATTCATCTCAATTCTCCTCTTCCAACTCCCTAGTTTTGTGCTATTCATTTCAATCCCTTGTTGCTCACAATCGCCAATGCAACCGGCTATACTCAATATGCAATCACTCCTTTAACCGCTGCCAATACAATTGGCTATACTCAATATACAATCTCTCCTTCCTTGCGTAGTGACTCCTCTCACAGGGCGTTCGCACGATCCAAGCTCTCCATCCATGGTGCATGGGATTAGCGTGGAACAACGCCATGCCGTGCCTCTCTCCTCCTCAAGCCATTGTAGTCACTCTTTGCGCAAGACACATACGTGCACTAGGATCCAAGAGAAACGCCCCACGGTGCTCGTTCCCTGCTTCTTCCTCGTCTGTGGTATGTCGGGTCTCTTTTTTCCCTCCCCACGCCTCTCTCCTCCTCAAATCGTTGTAGATATTCTTTGCGGCGGGCGAATGCATGCACTGCAATCTAAGATAGATACCCCGCGGTGCCTGTTTAATTTGCACTGCTTTCTCTATCATGACCTAAATCTTGATCCTGCATCATTCCTTGCATGCCATGGTACCGTCCCTCGACTCCTTACTGCTGTGTTTACCTCGATCCTCTATTGCTTGCAACCGCCAAAATAGCCGACTTTACTTGATCTGCAATTACTCCACTTGTGGCTAATTTCTACAATCCAAGACAAACTCTCTGCGACGCCCATTTCCTTTCGCCTCAAATTGGCATGGAATAAAGCCATGCCGCACCTCTTTCCTCCTTAGATCGCTGCAATCACTCATTGTACTAGACGCATGCGTGCACCACGATCTAGGATAAATCCCTACAACAGCTCTTTCAATCCGACTCTCTATGCATGGTACGTGGAATAGCACCATGTTGCGCCTCTCTCCTCCTTACACTGCTGCAGTCACTCCTCTTCTTGAGCGCATGCACACACTACAATCCACAACAAATGCCCCGCTGCGCTCGTTCCCTTCTGCCTCCTCGTCTATGATTTATTGGGTCTCTTTCTCCTCCACTCCTCCCCCCTTCACCCAAACCGCTGATTCACATTGCTTCCCTTGGCATGACGTGAACCTTTACCGTAAGGACAACAAGCAAGATAAGGACCAACTGTGAGAGAGAGAGGGACTGCAAAAAAGGAAACTATTCTAAATTGAATTGGAAATGACATGCATGGCCACCCAATTCTCCCAGACTTAACTGGGCAATGTGAAAAAGAGGGACAACTTTGAACTGGACGTCACATGCATGGTCGCCCAGTTCTCTCAGATTGAATTGGACAATGGTGTCCTTTGGCTTTTCAATGTCACCCTTTCTCTAGATGGCCACGAATGCGAGGCGTACTGAAATACTGTAGCACTTTCATACTACGGGTTGCAGAGTCAATCTTTTTTTTGGTGAAACAATAGAGGAGATTGCTTGACTGCTCCCGGGCCCAGTGTGGCGCCTTGGCTGCAACTTGATCTATTTGTTGCATCATGTTTGCAGGTCAGTCTTCAACACTCAAAAAATTGAACAATCTTATGTGGAGCCACCTCTTTCAATTTCACAAATTCCATCTGTGTTTGAGTAATAAAACTATACCAAATGTGTTGTCATCTCACAAACAATGGAATTCTTCCTCAAATCGTAGGTTATTATTGGGAGAATATTTGTGTCCGTCGATGTCCAGTCATTGACAGGACCTTGACCTTGAGCTTTTCTGACTCACATTTTGAAGGTTACAAATTGTATCATCCTTTATTGTGTTTGGTGTGAGAAGCATGCAATATCTTCCTTTATTGCATGTCATGCATGCAAGTAGATGCTTTCTGTTTTAAGATTATTTTCCATCTCCATGATATTAGACTAGAAACTTTTTCACCTGGATATGGTTTTCTATAGAGTCAAGTTATAGAAATCAATTGGAGTTCTAGTGGGAGGACTTGATTTTCATGTTGGCCGGACTACGTTAGAATAGATTATTCAAAGATATTGTATTAGATAGGAAAATTTAATTTGTATTAAGATTTTGAAGAATTATTTTTAAGATTTTTAAATAGACATAAAGCTATCTTTAGCTTATTATCCTTAAAGTAATAAATAAATATATATATAAATTAAAATTTAAAATAATATTTAAAGTATACTATTAATTATCAATAAGATGATTGAATAATTCTTTTGCTATTAACACATTTTGATTATAATAACACAATATATTCTTTTATACAAAAAATATCTGTTTTTGTTAATTATAATTATTATCCTCAACTTCATGTTCTTGACTTTTCAAAAGTTGATGATCTTATAGTAGAAGATTTAGCAAATTATTTATCTGAGCTATATACAATAATAAAGGCACAACTAAAAGAAGCTCAAGAATGACAAAGACCAATAGAGATGCCGATTACAAGAACAACCTCAATTCTACATTGGCAACAAGGTTTGATTACTTTGTCACAATATCAAGACAAGCTGCTCTTATAACAAATTGGATTATTCTATGCTTGAACCATTTCTTATTGTGAAGAAGTCATAAAGACGAGTAGTTGATAATTAATAGAATTTAGTAATAATTAAGTAGAATTTAGTTGCTTATTGATTATATTTGTAAAAGACATGAATCTTAGAAAAATAAAGTATTAATACACTCCTATGTTACTTAAAAAGAATAAAAAAATCACTTGAAGATAATATAATATTAACTAAAATGGCCATTGCTAAAGACAAAAAGAGTATAGACTCTTAAAACTAAACTAAGAATAAGAAAGGCATTGGCAAGAATGAAAAATGCTTTATTCTTGCTCCTATATATACTATTTAATTAGGAGCTACATGGTAGTGTTTTATAAAACTTCCAACATGTGTTGACTTTATAAGATACATATTTTAACTTATAAGGCAAATTTTATAAATATATATATATATTTATATATATATATCACATAGTTAGCTTGTTCTATAAGCTATCAATATGTGGCCAATTTTTTGACCAAGTTTCAAACTTAATAATTAACTATAAATATATATATAAAGTCAAAATAGCATCTATGAAGCTTCTAGAAAGCTTCTTTAAAAGATATTATGAAATTTATCTACTTTTACATTCTTTTATTTTTTTACTTAATCATATAGGTTATTATATATATATATATATATATATATATATATATATATGATATTATTCTATCTTCTAAGTATAAGTTCTATAAAAAATAGCTAACATCTTTTATAGATCTTAATATTCTTTATCTTGATTTTAATAGATGTCATTGATGAAAAGCCTCCATTTTCTTTCTAGCATTTATAAGATTTTTTGCTACCTCCTATGAGTATTCACTAATATCATATCTACACCAATGAACAAGATATTTTAATCTATTTTGGCACTACCTTGAATCTTTGACTTCTTTCACTTCAAATTCTTCATTAATATCCACTTTCATAGAAAAAGATGGCATGTACCTACTTCTTGGTATGTTTACTATCTTGTATGGTTCAAGAAAAGATACATAGAATATGGGATGGATCTTTATTGACTTTGGTAGATATAATCAATAAATAACTAAATTAGTTTGTTTACAAATTAGAAAAGTTCAAAGCCTATATTAGTCTAACTTGTCATAAAGACGAGTAGTTTTGATACTATGACAAAGTAGCCATATCATATCATCCATGTTGAATTATAGTTGTTCCTTGAAATGGGCATCTATGTTTATTTTTTGTTATTCTTAAGCTTCTTTTAATTACACTATTATTGTTGCAAATAGCTCTAATAAAAATAATTCGAAATCTTTTCTTGTATGATTATCAAATTTTGAAAAGTCAATAGCATTAAGTTATGGATGATAATAATAATTAGCAAAAAAAGATTTTTGGTGAGTAGAAGAATGTACTATATTATTATATGCAAATCCTATCAATGGCAAAAAAATTATTCAATCATTTTATTGATAGTTGATGGTATACTTCAAATATTGTTCCAAAACTTGATTAAAACACTATCATATGGAGTGATTCTCTATTTGGAAATACACCACGTATCTAAATATAGAAAGTTTAGCTTTAATATATTAGATAAGTTCTAAAACGTGATATTTTTTTATTATGAAGGCCAGAAATATATAATAATATCTAAAGATATTCTATTAAAAAAATCCTTTTAAATTTAAGAAGCTTTATATATAAGGATTTTTAAAGCATTTAAATTTTTTTTGACATCATTTGTTATATTAAATCATAACTAACTATTTGCTAGTAAGTTTGATTTTCTATAAGCTTAAAAAAAATCTATAATCTTCTTATAGATATCTATCTTTATATCATAATTTTGTCAAAGCTCTATCTCTCTATCTTTAACATATATATAAAGTTTTGATTCTAAAAATATCATTTACTTTGTATAAAATATCTAAATTGTAGCAAAATCCTTTCAAAATATTTTTTTCCTACAAAGAAATTTTTTTCTACATATCTTTTAAATCCAACTATTCAATTTTTTTTGATAATGTATCTTATATTCCTAATCTTTACCACAAAAAAAATAAATCATAAATCTACCATATATCATCTAGTATTTAAGAAATCCAAGCTTAGGCTTTAAATTCTAATTTACAAGTATTAGAATTCTATTTTTTTTATATTTCAAAAATCCAAATTTCAAATGCTACAAAATTTATTTACAAAGTTTATTAACATGATAACACATATTTTTGAAATTTTTTAGCCAAAATCTTGTCAAATTACTCAAGATATGACTTGAAACACAACCACTAGTAAATTGGATCACTTCCTGCCCTTAAATTATAAGAGTTGATTTCAACTTCTTATAACTCCTTTATTTTGGCTTATAATTCATCAAATAATATATAAAAAATATAGCCAAAAATATTTTATCTTTAACTCCAATTGCCAATCCTTCATTGCATTTTGTACATGCATGTTGTGTCCAAAAGAAAGACAATAGGTACAAAATCCATATCTTAACTTTAAGCTCTTATATCTTTCTTATAAAAACTCCAAATTCTCCAAAATTTACATCAAAACCATAGCCAAAAATCTAAATTCTTTAATCTTAGCTACTCAAGTTTGAATGACCTCAAAAGAATAACCCTAATCCTTAATAAGGCCTCAAGTAGCCTCCTTGAAGCCCATTGGATATGACTTTTGACAAATAATAATGGAGATTTTCAACATCCATCTCCATTCATTCATATGGATGCCGTATTTATTTTTTTTGCTACCAAAATTCCTCTCCAATCCTTTTACATATGTGATTTATATGATATATGTCCTAAACATCAAATATAAGAAATATAATATAATTTGAAGAATCACCAATGTTTAATAAAAGTGACTCTAAATATATAAAAATTATTATCAATATAAAATCAACCTCAATAATAGTCCTTTTGAATTAACTACTTTAAAGTAGTAATTTAACTATATTTTGTGACTAACTAAAATCTAATAATTTGGCTCTTACCACATTGTATAGTAAATTATACATTAAAAATTCATATTCATTATTTTTAAATAATAGCCAAATCACAATTTGACAACTATGTAAAAGGCTCAAAAAACTCTATTTGTCCATTAATTTGAGGATATAAGATCAAAAATAGCTTTATATCTATTTTTAGAATATTAAAAAATATTCTTCAAAATCTCAATATAAATTGAGACCTCTAATTTAATATAATATCTTTGGATAATCCATGATAGCAACAGAATTTTTCAAGAAAAAACTTAATTGTTTCTTCATCTAAGATAGATTTTGTACATGGTACAAAATGTACCATTTTGGTAAAACAATCTACTATCACAAATATAAAGTTATATAAATCTAAGATTAAAAGATGTGTGATAAAATCCATAGAAATAGAAGATCATGGTTATTTAGATATAGGCAATGATTGAAAAAGTCCATAAAATTGATGATGAGAAATTTTTGACCTTGAACAAATGTCACATAACTAGAAAAAGTCTTTTTATTGCCTTCTACATTTGTAACTACTAAAAATCTATGGATATAAGCTTTAAAGTCTTATTGTATCTAAAATGATTGGCCATTAAAAAGTCATGATATACTTAAAGAACATATAAACATGCTTCTCCTTTTAGAATATATAAGCATCATTCAAATTGGAGTAGGTTGCTCTTAAATTCAAACTTAGA